CCAGCCAGCCATGCTGGCTGAGGAATTCTGGGAGTTGAAGTCCACACATCTTCAAGTGGTCAAGGTTGAGGAACACTGCCCTATCAGGACTCCTCCTTCGGTTCTTACCTCCCAACTCTCCTGGCCTTTCTCAGCTTTCAACATATATTTTTATCCACGGGTTCTAAAAACAGACTTTCCTAGCCTGGCCCCTTCTAAATAACTTAGACCACAATTCCCATTATTCTCAGTCAGCCTGGCCTTGGAGCACAGTGTAACGATAGCTGGGCAAGAGATTTCCAGAATGAAGTCATGAATCTAATCATAATACAGTAACAAGAATAATGTAACAACAACAGAACAACAATAGCACTTTTCCTAAGAGTTCAAGAGGTCCTGCAGGATTTTTTGTAAGACCATAGAGCAGACCTGTATTATTATCCCCAAATTATATATCCCAGGACTGAGGCTAGGGGAAAACAACTTGGGAACTGAACTCCTGTCTGTTGTGTTTAACCACAGTTTGGTGTTTTCCAGCTACCTCATTCCACCCAATCCCGGTTCTTCCATTCTCAGGGCCCGTGTTCTCAGCTTGCAGCCTCATTTGCAGATACTCACCTCGTAGATGCCCCCAAAGACCGAAAGAAACTTGCTGAGGAGGGCCGCGCACATGCTGGCTATGTGGACAAAGGGTCCCTGCATAGGAAAGGGAGGAAGGAAGGGGTTAGCAAGATCAGCAGAGAGCTGCTAGGGCCCAAATGCTCTCAAATGTACACACAATGCTCAGCTATGGATGCTGTAACGGGCTGTGAGAATAACCTGGAGGAAGAGGAGGAAGAGCCACAGCCAGGTAATGGTCAGATAAGGGAAATCTGAGTCCAGAGCAGAAACGTAATTTGAGAAAGCGTCTCAGATTTGACCCTCCCTAGTTCTCTTGAACCTAAAGACAGGGAAGGGGGAGGCACATTCAGAGTTGCAAGATTCTCTTACTGTAACACTGTGATAAAAGTAGCTTTAGTATTCATGATTTTGGTGTTCAAGTCCGGTCTACCTCAAAGGGCGGACAGATGCCCCAGAGCTGTTGCTACCAACGAGGAGGGCAAAAACATTTCAAATCTGAGACATTCCAAGCTCAAAATGCTCCATATGACACTCAAAACAATAGCATCAAAAATGTCGTCCTCTTTTTGGACTGTACTCTGCGGACACCCCTGGGTAAGGAATATTTGCAACGGCTGGAATGCCCATTTTAAGTTCTGCGTTTTGAGCTCCATGCATTTCAAATCTGAAACCTTTTGCACAACGCTTCAGCCAGCTATCCTCACTTCACTGAGTTGCTTTGCAAATGGCAGGAAGCAGCAAGGCAGACAGAAGGCGGCAGCAGAGCCTCACCAGCAGACCATTGTCTACCTTAGCCTTCCAACTTCTATGCTGGTATCGGATTGGCTAAGACACTCCTGCCTCGTGGGGGTGGGGAACTTCAATAAATGGGGAAGGGGGGCATGGGCGTGGGTCCCTGACTCCCTTATCTGCACCCCCCCAGCAGGGAGGCCTGAGAACCAGTTTGGGGTAGTGGTGAAGATGCTGGATTAGAAACCAGGAGACTGCGAGTTCTAGTCCTCCCTTAAGTATGCTTTGGGGGGCTTGGGGCCAGTCGTTCTTTCTCAGCCTGACCCACCTCACAGGGTCGTTGTGGGGAAAACAAGAGGAAGAAGTTTTACGTATACAGCCCCAAAGTATATAAAAATAAAGGCAGGATATACATCGAATAAATGAATAAAAAGTCTGATGGCAGAGTGGATCCTGGGGGAAGAAGAGCAGAGGTGAGAAGGAACCCGTTACTGTAACCCTGTAATAAAAGGAGGTGGGCTGCTTTCACCCAAGTGGAAATGCCTGGCTTGGGTCTGGCGGCTCTCTGAAGGGAGGGATTCCTCCACAGACTTCTGCAGGTGGCCTTTACACCAGACACTTGTCTAGGTTATTGAACTGACCCATCTTCTGAGCTCGCCCATAGACTGAGCCAGAAGCCAACCAGACCAGCTGAATTCTCACAACACAAAGCTGGAAGACAAAAGCAAGATAAGTCCCAGCCAAGCAGGGTATGTGGCAGAAACACATCAACCTGGATGAGCATGTTGTGTGAAGTTGGCTTCCAAGAGGAATTCAGCCCCAGGTTCAGCTGGTGGGGCTGATGAGGCAGCCTCTCCCCAGCGAGGCACCTTCCAAGGCATGATCCAGCCTCGTGAAGAAGAATCACAGCATCGTAGAGCTGGAAAGGACCTCATGTCCAACCCTCTGCAGGATTCACTCCACCGTCCTGGATAGATGGCTCTCCTGCCTCTGTCTGAAAACCTCCAGTGTAGGGAGGAAACTGCGCCAGGCAGTAACCTGATCCACGGATTGGCAGCTCTTCCTGTCAAGAAGTTCTTCTTAATATCTAACCTCTATCTACATCCTTGAACTAGCTTGAGTTCTTACCCCCGGTGCGCATCAGGATAAGTCCGAACCCTTTTCAGAAACTTGAAGACAGCTATCACGCCCCCACTCAAACGCCTCTTCTGCAAGCTAAACACGGCTGCGTCTTTTCACTGTTCCTGGCAGGACTTGGTTTCCCGTCCTTCTACCCTCTTGGTAGCCCTTCTCTGACCACAGCCTCCAAGCCCCCCACCTCACCTCTTTGCCCAAAGGCATCCCACTGCCGAGCGCGCAGGTCAGTCCAATCACTTTGGCCACGAAGGTCTTGAGGGTCAGGTACTCCTTCAGCACCACCCCGCGCAGAATAGTTTTCATTTCGGGAATGCCGGAGCCTGCAGAGAGAGGGGAAGAGAGAACAAGAATGAGGGGAGAAAAGAAGGACCAGGAAAGGCCAGAAAGGGATCTTCTGGGAAAAGCTCTGTCATTCAACGACTGCCTTCACACAACACATTTAATCAGGTCAGAGGAAGACTTAGTGCCCGCATTCACACAGGGTGCTATGCTCACTGACACGTAACTCGTTTTTGTTTTTATGCCTTAGCCTGTTGCACAAACCCAGCACGGTTGGTTCCTTTATGGTTTGGTGTATTTTTTTTTCTTCCTGGATTTTTCCTGCAGGTGCAGGATCCGCTTTTTTGGGGTCAACCGAATGTTGATCCGTTGGTTGTGACAGGAATTAACCAACTGGCTTGTCGCCTGAGCCTGATGTCGTGGGCTGAGAAAGAGGGACTGGCCCAGAGTCACCCAGTCAGCTTTCATGGCTAAGGCAGGACTGAAACTCACGGTCTCTGGGTTTTTAGCCTGGTGCCTTCACCACTAGGCCTAACTGGCTCTCCATGGCTTGGTGTATTGTGCCAGCCCAGAAAATGAGTTGATCCAGTAACCAAGTTAGGCATGTCATGTGAACACACCATTCTGTGCAAGGAGAGGAGTTGGGTTCAGACTCCCCTTGCAATGCCAAACAAGATGAGGGGGCTGAAGGTGACCCATCATTCTTTGGGAAAGTGGATCTTCTCCTTCTCCTTCTCCTTCTCCTTCTCCTTCTCCTTCTCCTTCTCCTTCTCCTTCTCCTTCTCCTTCTCCTTCTCCTTCTCCTTCTCCTTCTCCTTCTCCTTCTCCTTCTCCTTCTCCTTCTCCTTCTCCTTCTCCTTCTCCTTCTCCTTCTCCTTCTCCTTCTCCTTCTCCTTCTCCTTCTCCTTCTCCTTCTCCTTCTCCTTCTCCTTCTCCTTCTCCTTCTCCTTCTCCTTCTCCTCCTCTGCTTAAGCTCTTTCATATGCATTATGAGGATGAAAACAGGGGTAGCCGGTCTTTCTTTGGATCTGCATATTGTTTACTTAATTAAAGAAAAAGCCACCTTCAGAAGCATGTCTGGTGATGCAGAGACATGGATGAAAATTCCCAAAAACATGGGGCCCCTTCTTTGTATTCTGGGTGGTGACTCTAAGCGGAAGTGGTTTGAGAGCAGAAATAGATGCGGTTGGCCTTGTGTGGTTTTCATGTATCCAGTCCTACCCTTGTTTTTGGTTAAAAAAAAAGACATGCTGCTGCAAATTGCCCATTTTCCTGTCCATTTGGGGTGCTTTGCACAGGTGTGCAAAATGAGAACAGGGGACTCTACGCAGCCCGTGGCTTCTGCAAGCTTGGGCTAGGAACTCGCTTCTTCAGATTCAGGGCAGTGAGCATCTTGGCTTGGTTCCCACTGGGGGAAAAGAGTGATTATTCAAATACAGAGAAGCCCTTTAAGGCTTTTGCAGAGGGGGGTGATCTATGTAGGCCGAAAGAAAAACCTTTCAGGGGGATTCCCTGAGTTCAGGTCTCTGATGGAAGGGAACCTTCCTTGTCCCCAAGCATTCCAATACGGATCGGAGGAGAAACGTCCGGCACAAGGTGGGTTCCCAGCTGTGCCATCCCAACAGCTGGGCTTCCTCCAAGAAGCTTCTTCCTCTCCCATCTCCCCATCCCAGCACTCACCCACCGCCTGCGGGGCTAAGATCTGGGTGAAGCCAGCCGAGAAAGTGATGAGCACGATAGGGTAGGTAATCCAAGCCATATACTGCAAGAAGACGTTGGTATCCAGCCCGCCGTACATCCACTTCTGGGCTGCACAGAGACACAAAGCAAGAGATGGGGAAAGACAGAAAGGGGGTGCTGGTCAATGCACAAGAGAAATCCTCCAAGCTATGGAAATGGCAGAAAATGATAAACTGACTTGCTTATTAAAAGAAAACTCAAATAATTATTACATTAAAGAATGGCAACAATTGATGGGCTACTTGCAAAATGGATGCAGCGCGACGCTTACAT